TTTCTTCACAATAAGCATTTATCGTAGAGAAGTATGATAAACTAACACAAGTGGAAAATAAGTGGAGAAGTATGATAAAACTTTTAATCATAAACAAATCTTAACTTATTATCAAGAAATTGTTATAATTTCTGTTTTTGTTTTTCTTTTATAATTGTTTATAGAGAATTTTATTTAAACAAAGTTATTGGTATTTGTTAAAAATTACAAAATTATAAGGAGTGTGACTTATTATAAAATTATTCTATAAGTTCAAATAAAGAAGTTTATCTAAACACAATCATTATTTAACACTTTTTATTATTTTTCAAGACTTACTGAATATTACAAAATCATGAGTAAAATTCATTAATTAAGGAGCTAGATTCATAATTTTTATTTTTTACAAATATCAAAATAATAGTAAAGAACATACTATTAATAATGTGTTATTTAATTTAAGTATAAGCAAAATGCTCACAAAATCTCAGTTAAATGTGCATAGGGGAGCAAATTGATGGATTTACACTGTAACATTCCAACTTGACCCAATACTGTACATGCAAGCCTAACTTGGATAAAGACTTCAAGAATTTCATGTCAAACAGTGAAGGACTTAGTTTTTTGAAATAACCAAAATAATAAAGTATCATGTCATGACCATCCAAATCCAACTCAAGGTTGGACCTTATGGACCACATTGGCCTTCAATGAACAAAAAAAGCTTAAAAGGACCATGACCAACGCCGCAAAAAACCCACAAACAAAATTAACGACTCGAAGCTAAAAATTTAAATTTGTAACACCCTTCCTTTTCATGTTTTTGTTTTCATTATTATCAATTTTTTTTAAAATTGTGTGGGGGAATGGGTGGTGGTGGGGGAGAGGGAGATTTGAGAGTCGCTTATATTTATGCGTGGTCCCAACACTTACAATTATAATAAATGATGTTACCCATCAACTTCTTTATGTACTACACATAATGTGGTCGAACTAGGAAGATTCAATACCATTTCTTTCAATTGCTAATAATATATTTCATCAAAATTAGGGCAAGGTTGGAAAAAGTAATGCTTCTTAGACGTTAGCTCTTGCGATATCATAGTAGTCTCGCAAAACAAAAACAAAATTTCAAACCAATTCTATGTAGTAAACTTCAAACTTATTCTCACGATGGAAGTCTTTTATTTAATTTGTTTTGCCCGATGTAATTGTATTAGACTATTATTTTATAAATATTGTGAGCTCCATTTTTGAAATCAATAAAATTGGAGGGTACCTTAAACAGTACACATACGAAGCATATACTAGTAATATATTAAAGGTGAAGGCAATTTAATTCCACTCGAGGGAGAGAGAGAATCCCGGAGAACCGTGCGTGGGCTTAATATTAAACTCATTAATTATCAGAATTCATTAATGCGTTAAGCTCGATTTCTTGCCAATAAAATAATGAACTATACGTGCAAGACAACTCAGCTCCCTCTTTATTATTCTATTCAAATTATTGGAGTTCATAGTTCAAACACAGAAAAGAAACACATTAATGAAGTGATTGTTAATTCATTACCTTAGACTTAGACCTTAGTTTTTGAGCGGAACTCGTTCGTAATTATTTTAATAAAAACTTTTTGCTCTTTCCTAAAATAATAATAATAATTTATTTTTGTTGTTTTGAAAACAGCGCGAATAGAGACAAAGGCAAACCAAACCTTGATTTAAGATGAGATCTCAACCGTTGATTCTCATTTTACTGTCTAGTCTCAGCTTTTGGACACAAAAGGGACAGCTCAATGGAGTCCATGCCCAGCGAGCGAAACCCCATACTATCATGTCGTTGTCATTATTCTGACCCTAATACCCTTTACCTCACGAAGCCAAAACACATTTTAAAAAGGGTAATGTGGTCATTTCACGTAACCAAACCAATAATTATTAATTTCGGTAATGCTCATCACTCATGCATGCTATACAGTTACCAATTTATGGCTAGCAGTGGATAAAACCAAGGATATATACATATATATTATATTTTGCCTTTCGTTATTTGAAGAGGCAAAAGAAAAATATGAAAATGGCAACAGGCTTTTTTAGTCTTTAGTCTTTAGTCTTTAGTCTTTAGCTTTTGTTGGCATACGTGTAACTAAAATACAATATACATTACGCAGACCGTACACTGCGAAAAAAGTTCTGAAGATGAAGGAGAAGAAGGGGACTTTGATTGAGATGCAACGTGCAGCTTGTTTGTACTTTAATCGATTCCTCACCAAAGCCAATCGATTGCTCTCTGCTCCCTTGCTTCTTCGCCCTTCTCTTCCACTATTTTCATCATCTAAATCCAACTATATATACAACCACTACTACTTAAGTATGTTCCCAAGCTATACATTATAATTAATCTATCAATGATAAATATTATTTTTGTTACCTTAAGTTTGGTTGAAAAGTGAAAACTAGTCCAAGATAAGTTGTTAATTAGTCTAAACAATAACCTTATTGAATGATATTTTTATGACACATCATATCTCCTTAAATTATTTTCACTCGCTTTCGTATAGAACAAGATATTTTTATTTAAATACAATCAAGTAATTGAATAACGACAAAATAGAAAAGTGGAAACCATCAGAAACTAAATTGAAATGCTGTGAATTTAATATAAATATGAAAACACAAGTAATAGTTTATTTATTACACCCTGTATTCTTAAATAAATAATGCGGTGTTTTCTCTTCGTTAAAAAAATAATTATTTAAGAAGGGTGAGGGGCCAACGTAGCCGAGTTTTGAACACATGTTGTGCACATATGTTACGTATATTCAATGAGAAAAACATGTTTAGTGAATAATTTATTTTTCTTAGTAGTTCTACCACTATGTGTTAATAGAGTTAATCGGTGGAGTAGTTTCCCTTTTTAATTAAAATATAAGAGTTCATTGATGTTAGTGTGTGTGAGAATGCGAATATGATAGGTAATACAATATAAATAAATTAAAGTAGAGGTTTATGTATGTATGTAAAAAAAGGAGAAAAGAAGGTGTTGATGATTTGAATTGTTTATTTCCTCCTTTGGAGGTAGCTTGAGATGATGGAATTCTTCCTATCTAGAAAATAATTTGACTGAATATATACTAAGGATAAAGCCCAATTAATTCCTGCCTTACTAAACTTGTTCATCTACTTGCTTTCTTATTGGATATCGCCACCTGTGCTAATCTAACACCTTTATTTAGAGAATTGCTTGTCAGGGTGAACTTAAGATAATAATATGATTTAACTAATCAAAGATCTACGATCAGCATCTACCAAAAAGGGGCAAAAGAGGATCACTAGCCAATAAGGCATCGCAACCCAATGCTTTTGCTGTTTTTTAATTTAAAGACAAAAAGATTGTGTAAATAATAATGTAAAGCTTTATTTACCCTGTAATTTAATATTTTTACACAGATAATAAAAACCCAACACAGTATGATTTAAATTCGCCAATACAATCATTTAACAATCAAAAAGTACTTTTAATTAATTGAACCTGGGTACTTAGAATCTTTAGTATTTTTTATTTCTTGAAATTGAATTCGATTCCGAAAAATTTACAATAGCTAACACATTTACTTAATCAACAGAATTAACCTATTATTATTTTGTTTTTGGACTTAAATAAGTGAAGAAAATTCTTACTGTAAATGCTTGCTTCATGTTTGTGTGCGCTTGCATGTTGATCATTAATTTGTATATTAATTAGTGTTTTTTTTAAAATAATAACAAGCAGAGTATATTGTAATTATTATTTATTGAATATTAAAAACAAATATGAAATATTTTTTTTTACCTTTTCTATTTTGAATATTTTTATTGTAGTAGTAATATTGAAACATTTAAATGAGAAAATACTCACTCAAAAACAAGACAATATTATGTATTATTTTTTACTTTTGTTGTTGTTGCTCCAGTTAAATTGAATACATGCTTCTAATTTTTATATATGATAAGAATATTAATTTTTATAATAAATATTTTAATAATTATATCCATAATAAATTATAATTTCATAACTACTCGTGATATTTTCAATAAATTTGAGTCTTATTTGAAATGGACGTGTGTGCATTTTGAAATTAAATCTCACCTAAATTAGGTTAGATAGAAGTTCAGCCCAACTATTTTACTTACATAAAAGTGACTAGGAATATGAAAACGGAATCATAGTAATTATGATAATATAATGATTACTATTTAAAATATAATCTAAAGTTGAATTTATAAGCATAATACCTTAATTGATGGTAGTTTTTGACATTTGCACGATAAGGTCATTAATGAAGGCTCATTCGTATTCGTACCATAAGCATATGGTAAATAATGGCATGGATCATTAGATTAGATTAGTGTGTATGGTGGCATTAATAAAGTGGACCTAGCTTTGTTTGGGGAGTGGGGAGAGATTGAGTGAGAAAAAATAAGTGTGATACGAAATGTGTGAGAAACTGGAAACAAATATCTGACTGTTAGAATCATAGAATGAAACAGTCATATATGATTGGACGGCCATGATGTCATGATTTCCAGACTCCACTTCATATCATTCATTCCCTCATATCCGTGCATCGCGGCTGGTCCCCACCGTATCCTCCCCCCATCTCTTCAGATCCAGCCGTGCAACGCGAATCATGAGATTCCCTTCCACGCCCACTCCGCTACACATCATAACACTTTATAAAACCCCCGCGATAAAACCCTGTCGGTCTACACGACTCGCGAGAAAATAACCACATGTATCAAAATATCGTCCCCATTTGGTCCACGGCTTTTACGTACACCCCTTTTCTGCGGCTCCTCTTCCATCCTTCTCAACGGATAAGATCACCTTCCTTCACTTCCCATCCGACGGCTCCCATCCACCTCTCTTGCCACGTGTCACGTGTCTCCCTCATAAGTCATAATTCTAAAAAAAAAAGAAAAGAAAACTCGAGTTCAGCACCACACCACCTATTAAACCATGGTTAAATTCTAACCTTACTAGCGGGCACAGCATAGCATAAACATAAACTCCTTATCCTCTCTCTCTCCGTCTTTCTCTCACTCACATCACACACAACAAACACACTACTCTCGCTCGTTGCTAATGGCGTCTCAGATCTAACAGTGCAACTGCCTCAGCCTGGTGACTTCCCTAAACGACGCCGTGTATTTGGTTTAGTTTTTCCATATGCTGCAGAGAATGGCGTACACGTTCTCGTTCCCGGAGGAGGTGCTGGAGCACGTGTTCTCGTTCATCGAGAGCGAGAAGGACCGGAACGCGATCTCGCTGGTGTGCAAGTCGTGGTACGAGATCGAGCGGTGGTGCAGGAGGAGGGTTTTCGTGGGGAACTGCTACGCTGTGAGCCCTATGATGGTGATCAAGCGGTTCCCGGAGGTGAGATCCATTGCGCTCAAAGGGAAGCCGCACTTTGCGGACTTCAATTTGGTTCCCGAGGGTTGGGGCGGTTACGTTTGCCCCTGGATCGCTGCCATGGCTTGCGCCTTTCCGTGGCTCGAGGAGATCAGACTCAAGAGGATGGTCATCACCGACGAGAGCCTTGAGCTCATCGCCAAGTCCTTCAAGAACTTCAAGGTGCTCGTTCTCACTTCGTGTGAGGGTTTCACCACTGATGGACTTGCCGCCATTGCTGCTAACTGCAGGTTTCTTTATTTGCTTCTCTCTCTTTCCTTGCTTTTGCTTGTTATACATTGCTGGACCCTGGACTTTGTTGATTTTCATTCGTACTGGACTCTACTCTCTACTCTCTACTCTCTACTCTCTACTCTCTAGTCTCTAGCTAGCTATAGCCTTTACCTAACGTCTTCTCTTGTCGCCGGGTGAGCTTCGGGTTTGTATCTTCGCTTTCGGCTATCGTTTTCCGTCATGGTTAACATAAAACGACGACTCTCTCGCCGTCATTTACGCTCAGATTTGCCTCATTTATCTTTCTAATAAGCCAAGTGTTGAATCTTTTGGATTTTAACTTCGTCTTCGAGTTAGTTCTTAATAAGGGACACAAATTCGAATCAAAATTGTGTTTATGTCTTGTGTCTCTGTGGACTGTGGGTGTTTTATTTTTGAGTTATTGGAATGGAGGTCGTGGCGAATTTGAGAGACGTGTAGTTAGTTTTATTTGTTTTTTTTCAGGTTTTTGATATATCCGCTTTCCTTCCCTTTCAAGCATTCCTAACGGTTTCTGTGTGGTTTTTGTTCTGGCGCTATTTGTGACAAATGTTGTGAAATTTTGGCAATATGGTTGATTTTGGATGTTTAGTTTTTTGACACGTGATATGCGATTTCAGGGTTAAGATTTCGCAAGGTCTTAGTTTAAATGACTAATGTTATTATTATCATTTTGGATGTTTAGTTATTTTTCCTTAGATTTTTTAATAATAATGTTAATTATAATAATAATAATTATTATTATAATTATTCCGTTATTAATTTCGCTCACCATCCATTGGGGTATACAAAATTGGGTAATTTTCCCTGCCTATTGATTTCACTTGCATCTCGGTTGTATTTTTTTTTTTGTACTTTTAATTATAGTATTTACTCTGTAATTTTGATACCTGGTCATCTAATTACTACAAAAAAACGACGTGACAATTTATAATTGGTTGATAAGATTAAAAATAAGTTTGTACCGATAATGCATTTCAATTAAATCCTTCCGAAGTTAAATAAGGTTAATTATTTTTTTAACCTTAAATTTAAAATTGGTCTTTTTTAATTTTGTGAATTTTAAAAGTTGTTAGGAAATCTCAAAGTATTGTTACGTAAGATTTATCTAACAGTGTTTTTGTTTATAAAAACATCACGTTAAATCGAGTTAATATTACATAATTGTTTTATTTTATCATTTTCAGATGTTATTAGTGATTTAAGGGATTAAAATAAATTTTTTGACAATTATAGAAATTAAAAATAATATTTTTAAATTTAAGGGATCAAAAATAAGTTTATTCTAAATTTGAAGAAGATTAAAAACTTATTTAAATCATAAATATATAACTTGTATGTTTTCCGTCAATTCTTATTGAAAAACTTGCATGTTTAGAGGGACATTTTTTGGTCCCCTCGAAAAAAAAAAGGGACATTTTTTGGTTGACAACGATCAATGGATTTGAGGTGTTGGCGTGAACCACACGAGAAAAAATTATACCCGTTTCTTTGAAGCTTTTGCTTTATGCTTGGTTGTTGTGTTAAATAGGATGATATGCCATTAACAATTATGTTAAATTTTGGCTCTGTGGTTCAATGTACTACATTCTCTTCCGTAAGGAACCTAGAGGATGCCAGTTTCTGAAGTGTCTTAACACCGTCATTGACAAACGTATTGTCTGCTTATGCATTGTAGGAATTTGAGGGAGCTGGACTTGCAGGAGAGTGAAGTGGAGGACCTTAGTGGGCACTGGCTGAGCCATTTTCCTGATTCCTACACATCATTAGTTTCACTTAACATCTCTTGCTTAGGCAATGAGGTGAGTTTATCTTCACTAGAGCGACTACTTGGGAGGTGTCCCAACCTGCAGACCCTCCGTCTCAACCGTGCTGTGCCCCTTGATAGACTACCCAACTTACTTCGCCGGTGTCCTCAGCTGGTTGAGTTAGGCACAGGAGTCTACTCAACTGAGATGCGACCGGAGGTCTTCTCAAATCTTGAGGCAGCATTTTCTGGGTGCAAGCAGTTGAAGAGCTTGTCTGGCTTTTGGGATGTGCTCCCATCGTACCTTCCAGCTGTTTATCCCATCTGCTCCAGGCTAACATCGCTAAACTTGAGTTATGCTATTGTTCAAAGCTCTGATCTTATTAAGCTCATCAGTCAATGCCCGAGTTTGTTGCGGTTATGGGTATGTCTGATTTATATGATTTCTTCCTTTCCTATTTATTGCTGGTCTTGTCTCATGTTCATGTTAGATCTATGATTCACCAATTGGAGTCATACACTCTTATGCTAATTAAGGTAATTGCTACAGGTGCTGGATTACATAGAAGATGCTGGTCTTTATGCCCTTGCTGCATCATGCAAGGATCTAAGGGAGTTAAGGGTGTTTCCGTCTGACCCATTTGGTTTAGAACCGAATGTTGCATTGACAGAACAGGGCCTTGTGTCTGTGTCTGAAGGTTGCCCCAAGCTCCAGTCAGTTCTATATTTTTGTCGTCAAATGTCTAATGCAGCACTAAATACAATTGCGCGGAACAGGCCTAATTTGACTCGTTTTCGGCTTTGTATTATTGAACCTCGAACTCCTGATTATATTACCCTTGAACCGCTGGATTCTGGTTTTGGAGCTATTGTAGAGCACTGCAAGGATCTTCAACGCCTATCCCTATCTGGTCTTCTTACCGATCGTGTTTTTGAGTATATCGGGACTTATGGGAAGAAGCTGGAGATGCTATCCGTGGCTTTTGCTGGAGATAGTGATTTGGGACTTCATCATGTGCTGTCTGGGTGTGATAATCTTAGGAAGCTGGAGATCAGGGACTGCCCCTTTGGTGACAAGGCCCTTTTGGCCAATGCTGCAAAGCTGGAGACAATGCGATCCCTTTGGATGTCCTCTTGCTCAGTGAGTTATGGAGCATGTAAGCTACTGGGTCAGAAAATGCCCAGACTCAACGTTGAAGTCATTGATGAAAGAGGACCTCCAGATTCAAGGCCAGAGAGTTGTCCTGTTGAGAAGCTTTATATATACAGGACTATTGCTGGGCCAAGGTTGGACATGCCTGGTTTTGTGTGGACAATGGAAGATGATTCTTCACTAGGGCTTGAGTGATCACGCTGAGAAATTTTATGGCCACTTGGATTTGGAAATTGATAATGGCAGGTACATGCTCAATATGCAATTCTCTAGTGAATTTACTGTTGCCTGGCTTATATAGTTGCAGTTATGGCTTGTGGTTGAGCTAGGTACAGGAGAGTACACCGAAGGCTTGAGCTCGATTGCCATTCATTTTACACTTTGGCTGAGCTACGGGATGCCCCAGTTTACTGATTAATAAAGAGACTGAAACTGTGTTGTTGTATGTGCGTTAGATACAATTGTTATATTATTCATCATACTAAAATATTTGCGGGCTTCAATTTATTTGTATGTTAACTTCGTCTTTCGTAGTAGGATGTTGGACACATTTGTCACTGTTAGCCTTCCCTATGAATAATATTCGTATTCTAATGCGGCGTTGTTAATTAGTTATTCGCAATTGTGATGCATTTATAACATTTGTATGTTTTCTTGCTCGTTTGATTCAAAGTCGCTCTAAGCTGAACATCAATTGGGATGAATTATCGACTTCTAACACGAATAGCGTGTCAAGCCATGAATGGTTTTACTGTTAGAGGTTTTTCTAGCCCCCTAAAATGGTAGGATCGAGTTCAAACATGAATGCCGTGTGAAACCATGAATGGTAGGAGGTATTTATTTTGTTTTCATTGGCCTATGACCTTATCTTAGATCGTACTGAAGCTCCAAATCCTTGGTTCTTGGGACTATGTTGTCTTTGGTAAAATCTCCCAATAAGCATTATAAAGAATTTGTCCAGACACCATGCAGTGAAGAAAATATTTGTAACCTATGTATAACTTTTCGCTCAACTTTTAGTAGTTTCTGTTTTATTCAAATGCTGTTGAATAAATTGCCCAAGTATAGAATTATAAACACAAGAAACAATTTGTTTTTTAACATTTTCACTTTTTTTTTTTTTATTGCTTTTACTTTTTACATGTATTATTTTATGCTAGTGAATCATAAGGTATCTAAGTTGGTACGCTTTTTAGCTGAAAAAGAGTGGAAATGTAAACTTGCTGCGGCTGCATTTTACGGGATTATGATTGTGTTTTACTTTAACAGCTTGCTAAATCCAAATGGAAGCAGTGCGTAAAAGGCTGCAAATGGATCTTTGGTGTTCCTGAGAAGTGGAGAGGTTTTGGTTTGCTTGCGGAGGAGAGGCATCAGGTTTCAGGTGGCTTTGGCAGACTAATTAGTGAAAGGCCGAAATTTTGTGAGACTGGCAATGGCATTTTGAAAAAGCAAAAGAAATATGAGTAAGAAAAAGGCTAGGGTGGTAAAAAAATGCCCTCAGCCCTGAGGCAGTGAGGCCTCAGGTGTGGTGACATCTGCTTTTCATTCAATAATCAATGTTCATCGGGGAAAGAGAGGAGGAAAGCCTCGACTGGTGAGCCACGTGATAGATTCGCTCACATTGGATGGTGTCCCTAGCTATTACCTAAGCTAAGCTTTTTCCCTTCCTTCATTCAACTTCTCTTTTCTAGTTCTACAATAATAATCACAGAAAACAAACTCATATTCTGTTCTAATGTAAGGTTTCAAAAACCTAACATAGAAGAAGAGAGGGTGCGAACAAGTCTTCTTTTTGAAAAAGTGTGGAGGGCAGGACAAGTAGGCAAGACAAGAACATTATGTTGCACGGACAGTTTCGTCCCCACCAGACTTATCCAATCAATAAAGAAAAAGTTGTGAAAGAAAGAAAAGGGTGAAGGTGTGCGAGGCCTCGTTTCATTAGTTAATGATGGCCGCACGTTTCATGTTCATCTTCATCATTTATATTCCCTTATTACTATGGTCCTTTCATCATTAACTCACCCAGTTCCATATCTTTCATTCTCATTTCACTGTTCTTTCGCACACTTATTATTATATTACACACACAATGGATCTTGTATCATTACAAAACTTACACCCATGCAATTGTCAAAAGGAATCAACTTTACGTAATTTAGATATGCTACAAGTTTTAATGTCATGTTATAGATCGAATATTTTAAAAACTTCAATCACTAGATGAATTATTCATTATGTCTCTGCTACTAATTCTAATTACGCGCGGGGCTAAGTATGTCTTTTTCTTTGTCATTAACAAATATGATTCTTGAATAATCTACTCCATCGTCATGGACTCATGGTTTAGGGCTTCAATGACTATGTGTACTCTCTTCAAGCATTAGATGGCATCGTAGCCCAACGGCCCCAACCCATTGCACTGAACACCTGAAATATTTTAATTTACAAGTTACAACTAATATAGGTTTATCAACAACTCACAAAAGAACTAAAATGTGTGCATTTGGCTTTTTGCAGTGACTCTGAGGTTGACAATGACAACTTCAATAATTTCTCGGAATCTCTGATAGGGTGGGTACAAGTACGCAACTATTGAATAAAGTTATTAGCTTAACACCTGCGCTTTATACAAAATATAAAAATGCATAAATATATTGTTTTATAATAGTTAATATTATATTTAATAAGTTTAATTATAATTCTCTGATAAATATTTTTACATTTTCATTCTATTAGACATATTATATATATAAAGTTTGTTGATTTTTATAATAATTATTTAAAAATGATATTTATAATAAATATTTATGGGTTAAGAGTTTACTTTTTATTTTTTTACAGTGACGATACATTTTAATTAACCACTTCATAATTATTAATTCAGATTAAGAATTTTTAATTCAAATATGAGTAATATAATTGCATTGTTTACCTGTAATGTTATTAACGTTCATTTAAAATGTTAAAAGTAAAATAAATTATTAAAACACTGTTAAAAGTAAAAGAAATTAGTTAGGCAATTAAAGATATCATATCTAAAAAATGATGGTTCCAAGTTTAAAATAGGATAAAAATCAATATAACTTCGTGATTAATTAGTATAATTAATAAATTCCTGAATGACATAAATTTATATCCGAATGTTTCTTTATTTTTTTAAGGTTAAATGTATAGTTAAGTTCCTATAAAAATTGGTCCCTATACTTACAAACCTTCTAAATTGATTTATGTATATGTAGACGATCAAATTGGTCAATGTAATCATTAATAATCATTAATTCTTAACTGTTCTTAATTTAGTCTTTACATATATAATATATTTTTAATTTAGTTATGCGTAATACATCTTTGCGTTGATTTCCAAGTATAAAGACCAAACTAAAAATATGTGATACATATAAGAACCAAATTATATAAACGATCAAATCAAATAAAAAATTGCACATTATAGGGATCAAATCGAAATATTTATACATATAAAAACAAATATTATAAACTTTTATATAGATCAAATTAGGAATATATGACACGTTAATAATTATCATTAAGCATTAAATAAGCTTAATACAAGATATTAATTAATTTTAATGACCATTATTTTTTGTATACAATTTTAATTATATATGTAGATGGTTTGGAGTAATTTTTCCACAAAATAAAGATAAATTTTAATGCTATTTTATTTTTTTAACACATATTTTTATATGTATTTGTCAATTACAAATTAATGACCACTATCACAGATTAAATAAGCTAAATAGAAAAATGTTTTTTTTATGACTTCTATATTATGAGTATATATTAGTTCGAATTTATTTTTACTTATATAAAAGAAAAGTCATTGGAGCAATTTTTGCTACTCAAGATTATAATATATCATTCATTTATTTACTTATTGTAATTTATTTATAAGTCATTAAAATACATAATTATAGTAAATAAGATGATTGTAAATAATATATATATATATATATATATATATATATAATCTATATTATATATATATATATATATATATATATATATGAAGAAGGTTCAAATGACACTGGTGTAACTTTATATTAAATGTGAATTTTCAAAATCCAACCGCTAGATTGAAAGTTTATATCTCTTAGATTTATATGTCAAATTTTATATTAATTTAAGATGATTTGATACCTCATTCTCATAAAACAAAATTGACGTAATATATATATTTCAAAATATACTAAAATATGAAAAATTTGATTACTTTTAAGTTGTTGCTTAATTTTAACAAAATTTGACATATATGATCTAAGAGATATGGACTTTTAATCTAACGGTTAGATTTTGAAAATTCACATTTAATATAAAATTATTGAATGGTGTAACACTTAATAAAAGTTATACTAGTGTCATTTGAACTCTCCTCTCTCTATATATATAATAGTAAGGTAGTACAAATTATAACATATCATTCATTTTTATTTATTTAATAGTAAATCAGGTGATTGAAAATAATATATCTTAAAGAAAGGTAGTACAAATAAATCACGATAAATTAATAATTAAGTAATTAGTAGAATTAAAAAATTAATTAAAGGAACTATTATTAATTTGTATTTAAATGTTTTTATTTTTAAATTTTGTCTTTGTAGCAACCTTAAAATTTAAATGAATTAAATGATATTTTAGTGAATGCTATGCTATTATTTTCTTTTGTAAATTTGATATAAATTTAATTTTTTTAACTCAATTTAAATTTTATTTTAAATCCACACACTTGTCTTTGCATATATAAAAGAATGACGGTTGTGAGGGACAACTTTTGCTTCTCGAAATATGCATCTATAAATCATATTTAACTTATTTTATTTTTTAATTCATTCAAATAGATAACCATATTAAATGAGGTGATTATAAAAGTATATATCTTAATATTAATACAAAAAAATTAACTTAGTCTGGAGTTATAAAAAAAACTTCAAATACCAAATAGAGATAAAAATCGTGGTAACTTATTCCTAGTAATTAACTAGTAAAAGTAAAAACAAAAAAAATTAAAGGAGCTGACCTGAATTTCTATTTGAATATTATTTTTATTTTTTAATCACAAATTGATAGCTACCGTTGTGTATGGAATATTTAAAAAAAAAGAAAAAGAAAAGAAGGTATTAACGAATTTTTGAATGATTAATTTTATTTATGTTTATTTGAAATTATATTTGATTTTAATTTTTAAATTAAAATATTTTTCTTTACATATAGAAAAACTAAGGTAACTTATTAATTAATTAGTAAAATTAACATGGGTATGTATGTACACATCAAAGTTAGAAAAAACACTTTACGGTCTGAAGTCAAGAGATGAAACATGGTAAGATTCAAGGATATGTATGTACTAATTCATTTTATTCACAATTGATTGTATTCTTTTTACTTTCTTTTAATTGATTGTTTGCTTAACCAAGATTTCGTACACTTTTATTTTGAAAAAGTTTGGAAGAAGAAAAATTTATTTCCTAGGCTAGCAATCTAGAAATTATATATCAACAAATTTTAAGCATAATATGATCTTGATATAATTTTGCTATTGCCATATGGGTGCAGCCCAACCAAAACTTTGGACTTGTTTCTGTCACAACACATAACACGTAATCTTTTATTTTTTGGTCGAACACGCCTCTTAATCAATCGCTGGTTTACTATGCTTCTGATTGGAACTAGACTTATGACATTATAATAATTAATAGAACATGTCACTTAATCTATATATTATATCGAAATAGTCCCATTCAATGTAATATTTGGCATAAAGACCAGTATAAATAACAGGAAACAGTCTATTTGATTTTCTCTGCTTCTTTTCCTGACTACAGTTGAAAGGGGTCTAAGATGAATTTAAAACATAAAGTATATGCATTTTATCACGATGAGAAATATAGAATATAATAAAATAATTTGGTTTGACTAGTCTTTGGTTTGAATAATTGTTGATTGAATAGAGAAATCATAACTAAATCTTAATTTATTTTAGAACCTAACCCCAAACAAACTCTTGTACTCATCAACTAAAAGTTAAGCCCATCTACTTTTAACAACAACAAAAAAAAAAAAATAGTACATAAAATTGGTATATAATAAGTCGAGGAAAAGAATCTTTTGCATACAATTGAATTAGAATATGCAATAATAACTTATTCCCATTGAGGGCATCTCGTTTCTTACGAGTTTTTTTTTAATTAGCTTCTTCAGCCTATGTAAAATGATAAAGAACTCGTCAATTATTTGGTTCATCATCAGTTTGAAATTAGAATCAGTAGAATCCACGATTTCTAGAAAGATCTTTTATTTATTTATTTATTTATTATTATTATTATTATGCTGAGGAAATTGAAAATAAAAGTTCCGTGAGATAGGGGCACACCTGAATTTGGTTGAAGAAGTCAATTGCCTAAAGATGAAACTTCTGGCAGGGGTCGATAATCCAATGAAATATCCAATTGGAAATACTTGATCTAAAAAACTAGAAAATGAGCTGCTCTATTTTCCAGTTTTCACACGAAATTGGGATTAAACGGCATTAAATAAATTACCCACTAGTGGAAAGTTGAAAAACTTAGTTGGAGATTACCACGTCATGCCCTTCAATCTTCATTCAGTCAACGCTGGTGCCAACCACCTTGCGAGAACGCAATGAGAAACTTCCTAAAGCATATTTTAATGGACTTAGACTTGCAATAGATCAAATAAGTTAATTTTTAGGTTTAATTATTTATTTATTTAATTCTTGTAGCTATGTGTTTACGTATTTTTTGTATATGTACAAAAACAGCCATAATAACTCAAACATGAAAATTATTTGTATTGTGGAGACTAGAATATAAAATTTTAAAATGTAAAATTGACATAAATATAGAAGTAAAGGATAAATTGAAGGTTTGAAAGAGACAGGTGATGAATAGAAATAAGTGGAATAGCGTGGGTTTACATGAACTTAATTTGCAGAGGAGAAGTAAGGCATATAGCAATGGGTTTTGTGGAGGTAAGCATTGACTTGACGGGACTTATGATGGCGCTGGTAATTGCTCTCACCCTCATGCTCATCTGCTCCCCTAAGAGGCGAGTTGTGGTGTATCGCTACCCTTGAACTTTATATGCTGTCACTCGCTACAGATATCTGTCATGTTCAGTTTGTGTGTTCCTAGCCAAATTTTTCATTCCTCTTCGTTTCCTTCTTTTGTGATTTTGTCTGCTGTAATTCATATAGCTAAAAGCAGAGTACTGGGGATGTATCATCTTTTCCTATGCTTCTCAACTTCTCATAGCTAACTACATACTTTCTGTACATTCAATCAAATGAATAAAATTAAATCTGTTTTTCCAGATATTACTACTTTCTAGAGATTAATTGTGTGTTGTTTAATTTGGTGGTAGATATTCAAAGGCACGGTCAATTCATCATGCAAACAATTATTTGTTGCTTCCAAAAATCATGGCCAGTTTTACTCCACCAATCCAAACACTGCTAAATTTGCATATCAATTAGTATGAGTTTAGCTACTGGCTTACACCTAAACACTCATCGCTTCAGTTTTTTTTCTCCCACATATCTGCTGTAGTTGACTTCAACCAATTTGGTTGATGAGAAAATTGTTTAGATTTTGGAATTACCAATGAGATTTGTTACCCCTTACGTGAGATCCGTGAGAGAAAAAAGTCGCAACAAATATTATCCCTTCCCGCAGTAGGACGGAATTTACATGAATCATACCAGACTAGATGCAAATTTAAGGCTTCAACTGCATAACTAATAGATGAAATAAATTAAAGAAAGTTTACATGATAAACATTCTGTTTTTCATTTTTTTTCTTACATATATAATTCATATAATATCTTAAAATTAATAATAGTTAAAGACTAATTTATATTCATAATATATAACTTTAACTGACAAAATATTATTTTACTTCAGACGAGAATTAACATAAACTAGCAATTTTGATACAAAATTCAACACAATAGTTACATGGATGAAACTGGAAATATAACTGCATTTCATATTTAACTATTTCTATATTGGCGCAAATGCCCACTGAAACGTATTCACCGTTTACAATGATTATCACGACTGCGACATTAACTAGCATTTTGGTACAAAATTCAATACAACCATGACATGAATGAAACGGAAATATATTGTCTACACAAAATTGGGACGAACAATATTTAGCACGATCATATATGCTATAATCAATATATCATTAAGCAGTTCATCGTTCCTCGGCATCTTCTACCCAAGCTCCCTCCACGAATTAATGTCAGTTGTGTTATTAACCAAAAACATTACGATGCTGATAAAATTCAACAGAAGGAATATATTCAACAGGAGAAACATTCTCCACAATCGGATATTTTCTACTCAAGATTTCCTGTCAGCTGCTCCATTTTTAGTTGAACCTTGAATAGTCTCCAAAAGATGTTCAATTCGATATTTCATAACAGGCTGCCCTTTTCGTGTCTTCTTAAGCATTTTTTCCCGCATAGTCTTTCTCCGAACTTCAGCTTGTTCTCTCTCTTCCTTCTTTACTCTAAGGACTGCCTCTCTCTCCATTCTTTCTTTCTCTTTCTCTTCACGCTGCTTCTTGTACAATTCTTCCAAACTAAGGGAACTATTCTTCTTCCTCCTCTCACCCTTGTCCTTGTACTCTCCACTTTCTTTTACATTCTGTAATAGCAAATAGAAACTGAATGGATAGTGCACAATCATGTTAACAACCGAAAAGCAAACAGCTAATAAGATATCAAACCTCGACCAGTTTCTGAGCCAAGGAAGGATCATTCTGCTGCTTTAACAACTTCTTAAACTTGTTCACATTCTTAGCATTTTTATAGAACTCTCTTTGTTTCTCTGACAAAAAAGAAACAACTTTCATGAGAAGTGTGTAAAGGTTTATGACAAAGGAACTCATGAAAGATAAAGATATGATCGGAATTCAAGCAAAGATTCAGAACATTATTTACTCAGCTTATCATGACTGGAAAATGTCTTAAATAACACATAAAATGGGCAATTGTATGATACTTATAGTGCAGAAGAAAGAATTCTTTCATGTGTTTTATGAATCACATAATCCGAAGAAATCATGAAAATATTTAAGGTTTGATTATCAACAAAATATTCAATAACTCTTTAGAATAGTCGGTTTCAGTCTATCTCAACCCTACAAAATCCTTTTGTCAGGTAAAGTTTATCCCTACTTATATACTCTTTAATTATTTCATATTTGGTTGATGCAGGACCTGGATGTTTTCCCACTACGCCTCCCTCACGTCTAGTAGTGCATGTGTATTAATGGTGGGTGGCCTTGTGAATCTATATAGCTCCGTTACCATCTTTGATAAATGTACATTGGAAAACAATTTACCTAAATTATTAAAGTTTTGGCCATGCTAGAACTTAATCTCCTCTAAGTCATTCGCAGCTAGTGCCCTGATTATTTCCTTAATTTTCCCAATTTGTTCTGTGAAAAACAGGTTATTGCCCAAATGAATAGGTAATCTAGTAAACACAAAACAGTAAAAAAGGGTTTAAAGCATTAAGAAGAAGTTGAGCGAATAAAAAAGGGAAATTTGCGCACTTATGATAGCTGGGTTATAGTGATTGTTCTTGGATTTTGCATTGGCGAAGGCGTCAAGCGAAAGACCACTTCCTCCCAACCTCGAAATGTTCTTCTTCTTCATCATTATGTGCTTCTTCTTCTTATCATGATTATTGCTGCGTTCCTCATTCTTCTTCATCGTCGGAAGGTGGAGGTTGTTCAAACCAAATTGAGGGAACAAAGATGAACAGATTGCAAACCCTAACCCTAAAATTTGCAGAGTACCAATGTGAATGTCTGATGCCTCCTCCTGGAGCAGAAGATTTGGTTGTGGACTTTTCCCCTGGCCCAGAAAAGACATGGACTGAGCCCAATGAAAACAATAAAGAATGTTAATGTCCAAAATTGTGACCATAACATAACAACGGAGCTAGAAAATATTTGTTAAAATAATTAAAGTATAAGGTAAATGAAAATTTAAAAAATAAAACAATAATATTAAAACTTTCGAATAATTCCCGTATTTATTTTTGCTATTTTAAATTTTGGGCTAGTGTAGCGCAGGCCTAGTTCTAAAAAAATCCCTCCTTTTATTTTACGGATATTTCAAAAAAAAAAAATCAGGAATGAGTAAAATTTATTTTATGATGATCATAATAAAAGGTAGCTAAATTCTTTATATATATTGATATATATAAAGAAGACTTTATTTTAGAAAAAGATAAAATTTATTTTTAGTAATCTCTATCGTTAAAAAATTAGTCTCTTGAAAATATTTCGAATTTCCTAAAAGAGTTTATTCATAAACATTATGAAAATTGTGTTAATAAAGATTGAGTTGATGTTTTTTTAATATTAATTAATGACTAAAGTGAAATTATCTTTAAAAGCAATATGATGTCAACTTAGGCATTTAGACATTATATATGTTACGAATAAAGTCTTATTTCATTAAAAAATTAAATAAGGTTTAAAATATACATTTTATAATAATTCTTGTTATAATGTATTTTGGTGCAAATGTTTGTCTTTTTATGTTAATTTTAGGCATATTTTTTCTACTTTTCTATTTATAAATAATTTTTAACATGTAAATATAATTAAAAAATAATGATTTATTTACAATTTTAAATATCATATAAAGAAATCAATCAATTTTTTTAATTTAATTGTACATTTTGTCGGTTAATCAAATGTAAATTAATTACTCAAGAGAAAAAAATATTGATTTAATTAATCGTAAGAAAAAAAAATTGTATTAAATTATTATAACAATAATAGAAAAAAGTTTATACAATAAAGCATAATTTTTTCAACTAATTCAAAATTTAAAATGATTTAAGGTAATTTTTTGTCATATATATATATATATATGAGGAGGGTTCAAACGACACCGGTGTAACTTTTACTAAGTGTTACACCACTCAATAACTTTATATTAAATATGTATTTTAAAAATCCAACCGTTAGATTGAAAGTTCATATCTCTTAGATCATATATGTCAATTTTTGTTTAAATTGAACAACAACTTGAAGGTAATCAAAGTGTTCATATTTTAGTATATTTTGAAATGCATATATTACGTCAATTTTGTTTTATGAGAATTCTTTACTGTATTAATAATAATAATATATTTAAAATTCTTTTATAAAAATTAACCAAGAATCTATCTTGATTGATTAGATTAGATTAGATATAAGTTTTTAACCAAGCATTAATTTAGTGTAAGAAAAAGCAATTGATAAATATCTTGGCAAGGGAATTCATAGGGCAAAGATGTCCCTCCCCGAATAAAATATACTATTATTCAGCTGCTAGCTAGTTTGTGTCTATAGAACATATATATATAGGAGACGAGAGAATTCGTGCATGTAGATTTCAATTTTTTTTTTAACATAAATAACTTTTTATTTCTTATAAAATAATTTTGTTTATTTTAATCCATTTGTTTCTGTAATTTTTTTTTTGGTTTCATTGTTATGAGATTGAACATTAAATCTAATAGAGAAAAATCTAAAAACCTATGAATCAAAATATAAAAAATATAAAATTATAAGTACCAAAATTTAAGAAGATCAAAATAAAAACAACTAAAAATTGAAAGAACCAAAACCAAAATAAATTTTTTTGAAAAGGTCAAAATAAAAATGACTAAAATTAAAAAATAAAATGAAAACAACCCTATTTTATTTAGACTTACTATTTTATAAAATTTAAACCTTTACATACAATAACAACCTTGACATATTTTATGTTTTGTTTTTTTCACTCCATTTATTATATTTCTTTCAAAATTTAAAATTTAAAATTTATAGATTTAACTTAAATAAATAGAAATTTAATTTCTTTAAATAATATTATTTTAACCTCTTAATTCTAGTTGTCATCTTTTAAATATTTTTAATTTTAATTATTTTCATTTTACCCTTTTAAATTTTAAGTTTTTTCGTTTTAGTTCTTTTTAATTTTGGTCTTATATTTTTTTATATATATATTTAACAGTTAATCAGATAATTTTTTTTTAAAAAAATAGTACAAAATAAAAAAAAAACTAAAAAAAATCCTATTTTACATCAACTAAAAAGTTATTTAAGGCATGACTTCCTTAATCACTTAATTTGCATTCCCGTTGTGCTTATAATATTACCCTATCAAAACCAATAAAATGGTTTGGTCAAATATGTTGACTTACATATTTAAAACCATCAAGGTATATCGCTATAACTAATAAATGATTTTTTTTTGGGGGAGAGGAACACATAAAGACAACCCAAAGCATAAATCCAGGATACAATTATGTATTATTACATGTACAGGTAAGTAATATTTTATTATATACACCATAACTAAAGATAAATTATGAGCAAAGATAATCCAACTTTAATACAAATTCCTTTTTTGTTTTTATCGATATCTTTAAGTATATAAAAAATTAATACAAAGTTATATATGTCATATATTTTTCAACTAACTTATTAACCAATATCACTAATATTTTTAATGTAACAAAGTTATATGTCATATATTTTTCCACTAGTGCTGCCATTTGAAAAGACCTAGAGTCGAGTGCAACTTTTCCTATAAACTATGATCATTAATCCTTAATGTGGGTAAAGTTGATATTTTTATATAACCTTTAATAATTCTTAACTGTAAAAAGGCATTATCAACTATGTCTACCGCTGGAATGGGTGGAAATTTAGTAAACCCTACATGTTCCCCTATTACCATATCACTTGGGGAAAGCATAATCTACTTATGATATTTTTCGCTTCTATCGTTTATTCTCATTTTGAATGTGAGAGCTAATTTCACAAAACATCATATTAGAGAAAAGTAATAAAAAGGAAAAGATGTTAAAATTCAAAAGCACCTTCAATAGCTTCAAATCTTTCTGCAACTCGGGTGATGGTTTGAGCCAGCATATTGAACCTGGCATAGATGTAATATGTAAATATAGTAAGATAATTCCGTTTTATACTCCAAGTCTCCAACTAAAAACAAAAGAGAAACCATAAGAAAAATTAACTGCATAAAATGAACATGAATATATTGCTAGTTGATAAAAAAAAGGTTACAACCACTACATCCAGCTAAGATGAGAAACAAAGAATAGATAAACAACCAAAGAAGAACAATATTCAATCGTGCTTGCTTTAAATTTATAATAAATATTTTTCATTGTCATATAAAATTATTTTAATTAATATTGATGATTTTTAAATATGAAATATAATTTAAAATAATTTTTTTTTTGTTATATATTTGAGTAATCACTTAATTTGCATTCATGCCGTGTTTCTGATATTACACTTTTTTTTTAACGTGTGATATTACTCTATCAAAATCAATTAAATCGTTTTGTCAAATTGTCACGTTATATACAATCATTTGCCAGACGCCATCATATTTAAAAGCATCAGGTCATGAAGATAAATCGTTGTTGAATAAAATGATAGATAAATGATTATCATAAAGACAACTCTAGCTTATTTTCCTTTTGGAGTAACACCACAAAGACAACTCTGAGTATAAATGCAGGAACTAAAATAAATAACATAAAATGTATTACTGTGGATTACACTGATTGAAAAACAAGCACAAAAGAATTAACTGAAAAGGAAGAAAAGTATAGGTGATGGAAAGATTGATATAAATAAATAATGAATGTGGTTTAAGTTCTTGAAAGAATGGGTGTTTAAAAACATTACTCAAGGGCAAAATGATTAAAACGAATCTTCAATCAACTAAGCTTAGAGGGTGCACGATCCAGCATAGCATATTTTGGTTTGTCCAAGACTTCAACAATTTCTGGTTCCACCACCGAATGGATCTCACTATCCATTACTGAGTCGTTTCCTGTCACAGCAATATTCTGCAACTCAACAGTCTCAGTAGCTTCCAACTCCACCCTCGTAGCATTTTCTTCTTCCTCATTACTGTTGTCTGATTTGCGAACTTTTACCTTCCTCACAGCAATGTCTATCACCTGCAATACCTCGTCGTCCAATGTATCCTTATTGTTCTCACGAGTTTTTGATGCTATTGCCACCCTTTCTCTCTCATCATCACCACTTCCATTCCATTTCCTGTAGAGGATGATCTGTGCAACACTCAACAAACAACCTAGTACACTTGCCATCTACACGCAAAAGAAAACATCAAAATGAGTATGTATACAAGTAACCCACAATTTCACAAGTTGGTTTTGTTAGTGCTACTTACAACGATGGAATAATCGTGAGAAAAACAGCCATAGAAGAACCAAACGATGGAACTCAAGGTCAGGCATCTGGATAAAGGCATGGGAACGGACTTCACACTTTTTGTCCTTATAACCCTTCTCTGAGAAATTATTAATACAATTTTGATTAAACCAAATAATACTATATATAGTTAGCGAAGTGTGAGGTGTGTTGTGTATAAAACTTACAATGACGCTGAGAGGAGAGGCATAGACACCGACAGCGGAAGTGGCGCAGATCCAGCCCATAACCTTCAACTTTTTATGTAATGGTGACACAAATGAAGATGAACATATGATGCTTAGGTACACCATACCATTGAACAAAAACACCATTCGGACAATCCTTCTCTGCATGGTCAATCATAAAACCAAACCAGCATTAATTATTAATGATCAATTAATTAAAATGTATACTTGAAAATAAATAAACAGAACTTTATATTAGGAATTCTAGCATGATTCATTACAGTGCCTATGCCTAGACTCATCAAAATGATAAAAAACTTGTAATGAAGCTATTTTAATATATACCATCTTAAGCTTTTTTAATTGGTTGTTTTATCTGAATGTGTGTATTTACAATATGATTACCCTGACTCTATTGGTTGCAAAAATGTAAAATATGATGAGATAAACCACTTCAATGCCGCAACCAAATGAGCTTGTGGCGATAAGCAATGTTTCTTCATTGCCCTTAAGGTAGGCATAATACAACGACAGCGTGGCACAGAAGAGTGCCATCGAGTATGGAACAGCATCATAATCTAGGGTTGATCCCCCACAATAGATGTCATAGAAGGTAACTCTGCACCAAATTTTTATATATTTATGTGAGAAGTAATTAAAGAAATGAGTATATATATACTAAATGTGCGCGAAGGTCTATTCTATAGAGAGGAATTACATGGGGGCAAAGTAGACCAAGAAGCTAGCAGTATTGCCTGAAAAAATCAGAAAACAAGAAATAGATAGTAAGCAGAGGATGATGATACATAAATCTCTAGATGTACATACATCAATAAGAAGAACAAATTAAGTACATATATAGATCGAATACGAGTCTATTTAAATAAAGCTTAGATGTATTTTTTAGAACTCCTCTATTAAAAAAAAAAGTTTCTAATTAAGTTCTTCTAAGCTTATATATAAATAAACTCTACGTGTTTGTATACCCAGAATTCCAAAGACAGGAACCAAGACATGATGACCGGTTTCCATTATTGATTAATTCTTGGTGCAAAATCTGTGAGAGGGAGATGCTGCACTAGATTACTGAAGAACCTTGCTTGGGTAGTTGGGTTGTGATTCATCTTGGCTTGAGAAGGGACCTTCTTATATATAAGAATAAAAGGAAAAAAAGGGTTGCGGAGATTGTGGCATAAAAGAGTTGCTTGTGGACACACATTTGGCACAGGAGGTTTAGTTCATCACCTAGACTTGGAGTTTTTCGTGTGAGAAACCTTTTGGTTTTCATGCATGCCCTTGACGTGGAGTCTTTATGTGAGAAGCTTGCTACAATATTTGTTTGGCTTTCACTTCTTCAAGAGCTTTTCATTGCACCAAACGGCATATAGATTTGGAGCTTCTCCAATGTAACAAACTACTTCGCTACCCTGCAAGCAAGATACAAAATTTTCCACAAAATAAGCAAAAAGAACCATTAATTAATTGGTATTCACGCCAAAATCATTACACTTAAAAGGGAAAAAACAACTGAAAAGTTTACTCTATTATTTTAGCATTATTTAAGTTTGAAATATAAAATGATTAAATTAATTATACTTTTGATCCTCAATTTTTGTCAATATATAATTTTTGTCTTTTCGTTTTAAAAAAAGATATTTAATTTTCCTATTTTAAAAAATATAAGATTTTATTCATATCATCAATTTGATATTTATTAAATTTTGACTTTATTTAATAACATATTGTCACTTATATTGAGGTAAAAATAAAAAATAATATAATTTTTGTATTTATATTTATTTTAACTAGTGTTTAATATTTATTTTATTAATAAATCTTATTTGCATTTTTTTAGTGTTTTTTTATCTCCAAATATGACATTATTTAATGTTACATCATTTATTTATGAATAAACATTAAAGTTTAACAATTAATAAATACTAGTTTGATGAAAGAATCATAATTTCATATTTTTAAAATTAGAGAAATTAAATTTCTCTATTTTAAGATATAGAAATAAAAATTATATATTGACAAAAATAAAAGGATAGAAATACAATTTAGTCATATAAAATTCTCAATAATGAAAAATTCAAATCCTCGTTCGACTAGTGATTTACTAAAAAAAATGTATAGATTTCTTTCCTCCTTAATTTAAACTTTTTATAAGCAAAAAAGAAGAAAAGATCCTTTAATTATGCAAACTTTTCGTTACTTCTACGTGTTCATTTAATCCTTATTTTCCTGGCAAAATGTGTATAACATTCGATTAAAAAATTAAGCAAAAAAAGTGGAAAACCGTTCAATAATGGCGGTAATTTCCCTCAACGAGTATAGAATTTAAGTTAAATAAATACCAAAATATACATTATATGTTCGTTTGTTTGACCTGTTTTCAAATTGGTTCTATTTTTTCTTGGTTCGTATATTTATAACAAGCGATACACTTGTCATACATGACCAACAACGTTCTAAATAAGCTTACCGAAAATTAAATATATCAATTAATGCTATCATTCAAAAACAACATTGAGTAATGAAAACATAGCTCATGGCATTAGGTTGTGCCAAAGGTGTGAGACATACCATTAACTCGTGACTTAAAAGGAAGAAAGCTGCTTGGTCCAGCAATTTATGCTTAATAGCTGGAAATGAGTTTTCATTTGCTAGATAGTAGATAGTCTAACAGTGTGTTGTCAGATTTTTTTTTCTTTTTCATTTGCGTGTGTACTTGTGTTTTGCCCTCCTTATTATATTAAATTAATTAAATCAGTATTTTATATTTTTTTATCCGTTTTCTTATATAGTAATTTGGTACAACAATTCAAAATGTGTTTTCTTATATATATAAAAACGATATGATTTAAATATAAAAGAGAATTAATATGTATTTGACAATAGAAGGTGTGGAAATGGAAATATCATTGTTATTGGTTCGTGTAATGCATGACGATCGTAGATAGTTGATGGCATTAAATACATAGGGCCGTACGAATGGCCTTGAATGCATCTCCAACCTCCCCACCTTTCCCATTCAAACATCTTCTCCTTGTTATAATATCTCATCAACCTCTCTTTCCGCACGTCATAATAATATTCCGCATCGATCCAACAGATCCAGTTCAAGAGAGCATGTCGAAGCCGAACGTGGAAGGAGTGCACAGCGATGTCAAGGTGGTGGAGAGGCCAACAAGAGTAAAGCCTTACGATGTGTTGCTCAGATTTCTTGCCTTCACTCTCACTCTCGTTGCAACCATCATTGTCGCTGTTGACAATCAGACTAAAGTCATCTCCTATGCTGAAATGCAATTCAAAGCCACTGCTAAGTGGGAATACATGTCTGCTATGGTGTAAGCCCCTCTCAGCTCTCACTCATTTCATATATATCCATATATATATAGTCTGTTTCTTAACAAGTAAAAAGCTTCCACTAAGTAGTTCTTTTCATGCTCTCAACTCATCATAGAATCATAGGATGTATAGGAGAAGTATTTTGTATAAACAAGTTCTTATTTGAGTATAGTAAGCACATGTTACTGTAGATTATTTTTTTTAAGCACACCTTATATTAATATTAGTGTTGACTGAAATTATGGAAAAACATAAATATTAGTGACCCCACTTTTTATTTAAAATGTTACACAAGTCGTACTTATACTATCACTAGTGCAGCATGTGAATGTGATATGAAGATAAGCTATTTGGAACAGGTTTTTCGTGGTTTCAAACGCAATAGCGTGCTCATACGCGGTTATTTCTTTGGTGATGATGGCGATGGCGAGAAGCAATGGAAAAGAAGATGTAGCAGTGTTGGTGCTAACAGCGCTAGACCTTGTGATGATGGCTTTGTTGTTCTCAGCCAATGGTGCAGCTTCTGCAGTGGGAATGATAGCACAGAAGGGTAACTCGCACGTGCAATGGACGAAAGTGTGCGACGTGTTTGATGCCTACTGTCGCCACATTACTGCTGCATTGGTCCTATCCATTATTGGCTCCACCACCTTTCTCTTGCTTGTGCTGCATTCTGTTCTCAAACTCCATTACAGGTCAACTTAGATCATAATATATATTTGTAATGTTAATTAACTTTAAGGGCGTTCTTGTGTGAATGCTGTTTTTGGCTTAGACCTATTGCAGTGTGTTGCTGGTTGATGAAGAACGCTACATATATATATAATTAATTTGTTATGTTAAGTGATTAAATTATTAAATGTTGCTCGTTTACTTTACCAGATGGTAGGTCTAGTCATTTAAGAGTGATAACAGTAAATAAAGCTATAGGTGTTGTTTGTGAAGTCATTTCACTTTCGAAGTAGGTAAATGTAGTAACGCAAGATCAATATATATCACCTTCTCCACCTTCCTTCTTCAAAGGAAATCAATGTTTCCAAGCTCGTAGTAATAAAGAAAGGGAATATATGTGTGACTGTTATATATAACGAGTGAAATACTGGCACGTTGTTGTATTAATATTATATATAAATTCGTCCATTTCATTAATTTCTTCTTTTTTTTGACACCCATTTCATTAATTTCTTAATTATTCATTTGTTTATCATTATTAAATATTACAACGGCAAGTGTGGGTCATATTTCATTTCTCATACATCCATAGTGGCAGACATAGTGATCACAAATGCAACCTTAATTTGAAAAATTACTTATAAATGCATGATTCTTTTTTATATATTTTGTCCTCGCTAATTTTATGTATTTGAACCCATTACGCTCTTAATTTTTTACTCAATAAATATCTTAAAATTTTTATATACTATTCATTTTAAATTTTATATGTTTGAACTCATTACATTTAATGTCTTCACTGAATCAAGGTCATAGATCTGACACGGCATCATCTACATCCACTTAACTCCAACTATTAAGCCAACTTTAATAATTCTTTTTATTATCGATTTATTGGAGTAGAGAAATTGAATTCAATATAAACAAAAAAATCATGTTGACTAATAAGTAATTTTTAATATGCTTGATTGTTTTTTAGTCTTTAAAATTTTTCAAATGAGTGATTTTATTCTTTTTAAATTTTAACTTTTCAAATCAAGTCCTTGTACTTTCAAAATCAATGAAATTTAGTCAAACATTTAATGTAGGAATTGAATTAATATTTTTTTTTTCATAAAACAATGTTGTTATAATTTTTGTTTTTTTTATATATATTTTAGTGACTGGGATAAGATATAACTATTGGTGTAATCATTTTCTTTTGTATATTCCTAAAAAAATTAAAATAATTTTTTTTTTAATATCATCTTAAAAACTAGCACTGATCTTTTTTAATTTTTGTATTTCACTAAATATTTATTACTTCAGAAAATCAAATTTTGTCTAGGTTTAATGACTTTCAAAAGTAGAAATTTTTTTCGTACTCTATACTACAAAATATAAATGACTTTCAAAAGTAGAAATATTTTTTTCGTACTCCAATTTGACTGACAGGAATGCAATCAATTCAGC